AGCACACACACACACACACACATCCACACAGAGATGGTGCTGCCGCAGAGTCAAATATAGACCTTGGGGAAGGGGGAACAATGGCTGGGGTTGGGTTACATGGCTGCGGGGCCAGCAAGCTGCTGATGTTTGTTGTGGGCTGGGGTGGGATGGGAGAAACAAGGGGGGTGGCATGGGGGAGAACATTTGTTTTTACCCAGAGACCCCGGGCCGGTGCTGCACAGCAAGTGTTTCAATACAGAGGAAAGGTTCGCCCTGAGCCGCGGGGGAGGATGCTGGTGTAAGCTGGCAGTTCAGAGGTGTTTGCGTCCATTCTCCAGCTGCTTGTGCTGCTCCTCTGTCTCCTTTAAGGGACTGCAGTGGGCAGGAAGGGGTGAGTTTTCCTGGGAGTCTGCAAAGAGAAGAGCTGCTTTCTCTTCTTGCTCTGGGGAAGGTTCCTCAGTGGAGGAGAAGAGGCAGTATCACCCACTGCTGAAGCCAAGCATCCTCACCCCTCATGTCCAGCTGTCTCCAAGGTGCAGGCTGCAGACACTGGAGGAAAAGCAAGCAGCCCCAGCTGGCTTTGACAGGTAACTTTTTCATCTCACTGGGAATGATGGTACAGGAGGGAGCCTGCAGCTTTCAGGCACAGGGGAGAGGCACAAAGGTGCTGTGGTGATGGGGGATTCCCAACCCCACTCTGGGTCTCTTCTCTGTGGGGTTTCCTTCATCGAAGGGAAGAGCACTGGAGGGATTCTTATGGCTAGGAAAAAATCCTTCCTAATTCTGACCCAGCAGCTGTTCCATGCGCGACGCCCCTAGGGATGGCATGGCAGGGATCAGAGCATATTAGAGCCAGGTCAAAGGCAAATGCAGGAATCCCCTCCTCAAATCTCATACCTTGGGTCTGCAAATAGAGTCACTTTGCTGGAGTCATCATGGGCAGCCTGGGGACAGCCAGAGCAAGGGTCGGAGTTTGCCCAAGGATCGGACAAGAGCCCTTCAGTGATGAGAAAGGAGCATGCTTGGGGTTCGTTGTGCCTGGTGTGTCTATCTGCTCCATTCTGCACCCACTTTTCTATGCTCACCCCTCCCTGTCTGTGGTCCTCACACCAACAGGAATAAACCAAACCCCAGATTCTTTTTCCTCAGATGTGTTCACTTCACCCTCTGAATCCCTGCCATGGTTTCCCTTCTCCACTCCCCTGCCTGGCATGCAGATCTCCAGCAGCCGATTTCCCCTCCCTAGCCTTGGCCACAGATTTCACCTCGGAGATGACTGTTATGGGGAAGCCACGTGTGTGGCTCAGCTCACTGCAACCCAATCCCACCTCCCCCTCCCGCACAACTCCTGTTGTGGATACAGATGCTTCTGGGTACCAACACACAGCATTGATCTGCAAGAGTTTTTTATAATGTTCATTCAATCAAGGTTTACCTGCATGCAGGTATGGCCTTGCAATGTGGTGCAGTGCCAGGGCAGATATCCACAGAAGAGAGTGAGAGCAGGATGGAAAAGTGTAGGAAGCATCCTAGAGCTGATGCACCTCAGTCAGCATCCAAGCTGCAGGAGACTGGGACCTACCTGATCCTCAGGGCCCTTGGAACAGTTCCATGGGGTGATCAAGACAGGGGAAGGCAGGCAAAGAGAAGCACGGTGTTTTTGCCTGACAGGAAAGCAGAAGGGAGGCAGAAAGGAGGCACATGAGGTAGGAACCCATAGTACAGCTCCCTGGAGTTGTGCTGTCTGAACAAGCCGAGGTCTGCAGGCAGATGAAGTGCAGAGCTGGACTTTGGTGGGGCTATGAGAGTCATAGGGTTGCAGGAGGTGACAAAGAGAGGGCAGGGATGTGGTGAGGAGGCAGGAACTGATAATACCCACATGAGTACCAGGAGCATTAGGTTATTTTTGCTTCCTGGAGGAAAATAGCAAACTCTGGGGCCAATGGAGTATGGAAAAGGGGTGGATGATTTCTAATTAAGGATAGCTAGGCCTTGGAAGGTGGTGGAGTAATCTGGTCTTATAGAGTGGCAGAAAGGCCATTCAGGGTGAGGAGAAGCACAGGCAGCTGTTCCTCTTAAGGACTTGGCTGCCCAGCGCCTCACACAGGGCTGTCTCCATGTTGGAGCATCGGTCTCTATGTCTCACAGGCAGCAGCAGGAGAAGCACCAAGAACCACAGCTAGGTGGGATGGCTCCTTCTTGGCAGCTTGGCAGGGTGCCTTCTTACTGGTGTGGTTGCCTCACGTTGTTTCTCTAGTTTCGGACTTTAAATCGTGGGGCTTGAAAATGGAGGTGTGCTCAGTGGAGGGACCGGAGATAGCACAGAGGGTCTGGGGTGGTATTTTCACTTCTCTCAATATCTTGAAGCTTTGTGAAGCCTGGGGGAAATCTGGTGGGGTTTCCTGGTGCGTAGGCAGAGGTGCTGAGCGGGAGGTGACCAATACGGGAGCCCGGCATTGCGCGACTCCAGCTGCGAAGCCTCCGTGTACGGGGATGTCTGAGCCTGCCCCCTGCTAAGGGGTTCCTCCGGGATCCGACTCCCAGCCCGGAGCTGCCACGGTTCGTGGGTCCGGGGGATCAGCCTGGCCCGAGCAGTGACCGTGGGTGGGTGGGAGTCCTGCGTGTGGCCGCCCCCGGAGGCAGCGGGAGCAGGGCAGGGGTGAGCGGGCAGGGCGGGTCGGGCCGAGCCGGCCCGGGGGGGCTGCCTGCGGTTTGGGGCTGCGGGAGGCGGGATGTCCCGGGGAGGGAGCGGGGATGTGCAGGCACACGCAGCCGCTGGCAGGCGGCCGGGGCGCACGGCGGCGGCGGCGGCGGCGGGCGGAGCGGCACACGCGGCAGCTCCCTCCGCAGACCCGCGCCTCCCC